CGTGCGCGTGCGTTTGTGAGTGCGCGCACATCTAAACACGTGCGTACACACGCACGCACACACGCACACGCACGCACGCACGCACGCACGCACGCTCTCTCTCTCTCTCTCTCTCTCTCTCTCTCTCTCTCTCTCTCTCTCTCTCTCTCTCTCTCTGCGTGTGCGTGTGCGTGTGCGTGTGCGTGTTCTTTTTTGAATTTTCTTTTTTGAATGTCACTTAGTTTCTCTGACAGTTTGCGTGATAAATGTATTGTACAATCAATGTATTTTCTCATGTATTTATTTCTCATGCTATGGATTTATTTTATTTTTTTCTACTTAGTATCCTCTCTCTCTCTCTCTTTTTCTCTCTCTTTCTCTTTTTCTCAATCCTTCCGCCCACTAGCCTCCCTACTCCTTCCCCTCCCGCTCCCCGCCCCCTTTTCTCCCGTCTCCCGCCCCATCCTCTCTTCTCCCGTATTTTTGGCATGCATGGAGATAGTTAAATGTGGTGATAAAGCAGCTCGAACACGCTTGCAACCACACCCGACGCCGTGTTAGTGTGTTACGGATCCGGCGTCACGGACCCATGACGGTCGCTGAGAACCTTTGCTGAGAACTAACTGTTTACGACACGGATACTAGTGTTCCTCCGCACGCAGGTGTTCCGGCTGCTGCACACGTGTGCATCCGCGCACAGGTGTGAGGTATGTAGTCCGACCAGTTGCAAAGAAGTTTTATTCTAATAATGTTATTATATTTAACGGACATCCACTAAAAGTCATAAATTTAATATTGTTATGTCAGTGTGTGTGAAAATGGCATAACAACATAGCAACACTTTATAAAATTAATTTAAGCCAATCAATTCTATCAAAAGTAGTTCGCGTGGTGGCGACACCTGTATTGTATTTGAGTGCAGGTACAATGTGCAATGTCAGGTAGATTTGTGTACGAGAATTTCAGTTTTCATGCAGCAACGTTCTAAAATAATGACATAAGATGTGTACGTGGATGTATGCCGTTTGGTTAGTTATCTTACTCACTGCACCCTCAATAGGTAAGTGTAAAATGTGCTAAATATAATTATAAGTGCAACTGTCTGAGGTTGACAACGTCTGCGGTCTGGTGTAAATTGCAGTGTAAATTGAGTAAATATATCGGTGTCGATACTACCGTCAAGTTATAATATTTCATAATATAATATTATGTAGGCATGTACGTGTTATCAAATGTCGCATTGTTTCGTCGGATAAACGAAAACGTGTCTGTTTTATCGTTTGCAGATGGGCAGGCTACCGAACTAGTCATTCAGCCACCAACTCTGGTAGCAAAATTTATGCTAGAGGCAACAGCATTTTGTAGACCAGAGGGAAATCCTGAACCACAAGATCTTGAGTGGTGGGGTCCATATGAGAGGGAAAAGGGAAAAATCACAGATGACATTAGCAAACGGTACGTAGATCTATACGTGCTTTAAAATTACACATAAATTTCCTTTCCTACGAAAATCTGTATTAACAAAAAGTAGCAAGTTTGAACCAATGTAACAATAATAATATCAAAAAAGAATTACAGTCAACAAAGTGTTAGTGACCACCCGTTAAAGAGTGACCACCTGTCAATAGCTACCATAAAAATTCCCCTGCTGAACAAATACAGTGTTATAAGCAACTTACCGATGATCATCTGCTCAATGGGGCCAAAGCCACTGTTTTTGTATTCCTCGAGCTTGTTTTTGTACTCCACCTTCACACATTTCACGTATAATCGATTGTTCGGATGTCGTTTCAGAGTGCACGTGAAGCTGGCTCAGAATAACAAGGACCTTCAGTTGTACATTCGAGAAGTGTGGCCCGAAGACCAGGGGGAATACACCTGTGAAGCGAGAGCTAACGGTCAACCCATAGTCAGACCTCTCACTGTAACGGTGTACCGTAAGTCTTCCACACGATCGCAGTCGATCGGGCATGAGGGGCGGGGCATCGCGATAGAGCAGAGCTCGAATACCCCTACCCATGTCTTGTTGCATCTGAGATTTAAAGCAATTTCATGAAAGCATTTGCAGGGTTCTTGTTAACTTTTGACAAAGCAGGTAATTTGACAATGAATAGCAGGTAACCGTTTTTCCGGCACGGACGGTAGGGCGGAGTCCGGGGGCATGCACCCCCGGAAAAAATTTCTGATTTGACCCACAAATAGCTTATTTTGATGGGTATGGGTTCTAGAATTTGGTAGTTTAGATAGGAAAATATATGCTATTAAGTATCTATTATAAAAAGAAAAACCCGCCCGTGCACAGAGTTAGTCTTGGGTTGGAAGTATTTAAAATAAACTTCGTTTTTTCAAATATGGCCAAACAAAAAAATACCTTTGGTTCGGGTCACATGGATTGTGAAAATTAGGGTAGGTAGGTAGGTATAACATTTATTTTATTTTTTATTTTTTTTCCTGCAAAAACATGGGTAGGCAGGAATATAAATTTTCCACAAGTTAAATATAGGGTATACAGCTTGAAATGCAGGAGCCACGAGATGCAAATGACTTGCAGTTGCATGTACCATTGCTGCAAGTCATGACATTGTTTTCAAAATGTGAGCACTATGCAGTAGTGTACTGGTGTCGTGTACTGGATAGTAGTGTTAGGATTCGCTCCAAAAACGGAGCTCGGTTAATCGTCCCTTTGAACGCGCGAGTAACCGAAGTGTAACGGCTCTGCGGCCGCGTATAGCACGATAGCATGCGTATACTATATAGTACGCGATCGATCGCGTACATCAAAGCCGGCCGCCGCGCCATACGACCTTCAAACTCTGTTTATGAAATAGCCGGCCCATGCTCTTATATACGACTGTTTCACGTTGTAGGATTCTAGGAAACGTAGGTAGGAACTGTTTCATTTCTCGCCAACGAAGTTCTGTTTATAAACATTTTGGAACTCTCCTTAGGTAAATAAAATGACAAGCGTCGGATATTTGAATATGTATGACGGCAGGCGGTATCTTTTAATTTTATTTTTTCTTGAAACCCTGTAAAAGTGACCGCAGTCGCACATTTTATCACTCCGAAATGTGAAGTGGGGCGGGTGACCCGAACCAAAGGTAATTTTTAGGTCGGCCTATGGATTAAATATTTTACCGCCTTTAGTGGGAGTTTCTCTCAAATTGATAGCCGGTAACAAATTGCGCGATAGGCGGTAAAAATAACCGGTTACCGGCTATTAACAAGAACCCTGCATTTGTAAGCGTCGCTACGTAAACAGCCATCATGGTTAGAAAATTATGGTCACGGGCAAAATTTACAATGAGTTATTGTGTTAAATTTAGCAAGCCGTTATATTGCTCTTTCTTACAGCAACGGGTGATTTTAGCGCATCTTGAATGGAATCAACTTGCTATCAAGTGCTTCTCAGCATTTTAAGATATAACTCTGGCTATTGTTGTTACAGAGGATATCACAATCGTAGATGCACCACCTTTGCAAAATCCTGTGATTTACACCAATGCCCTGATCAAGTGCAAGGTAGAGGGAAATCCAAAGCCAGAGGTGCAGTGGATACGTGGTGGAACTGAAACTATCAATGCAGGTAACACATGATCATTCTAGCTTGTTGTTTGTAGGAGATACAGCCATCTGCAGGTGTTTAGGCCCTATGCCACCATTATACAGGGTGCGAAATTAACGCGAGTCCGGAGTCAAATACTCCCTGATTTTCTGTCGGACTCCCTGATTTGACATATATGCAGGAGTCAGTGTGACTCCCTGAAAATTCTGCTATACTAACTAGTTCGTTCCAGAGCACGGCCTCGCGGAATTACCGTATTTTTTCAGTAAATGTCCAAAGACAATTTGGCAGACATGCAACCGCATGAATCTTCAACATAAGCACACGTGTTATTGTTAATATTTTTAGTTTTGAACTTCAGACTGCGGACTCCCTCATTTTGCTGCGGGCTCCCTCTTTTTGAGGGTAGGGAGTCCGTTGGACTCCCTTGTTCAAAAGTTAATTTCTACCCCTGATTATATTATGATTAATAATCTTCTTAATTGATTAAGGACAGAGCTTAGAATTTAAAGTGAATTTCAACTGATTAACTACATTAATTGTTATCTGGATTCATCTTTAAAACCCTGCAGAGTGTAATTTTGTTGGATTGCTGACCTCCTATGCTCTTCACAGCTTTATAAAGCATGGCCTAACAGTCATACCAAGTTAGATTCCAATTAGCATTAGCAATTTAAGGAAAATATTATATTTAAAATTATTAAAGTGTTGCAGGCAAAAGTAACAGTAGAGTAAATATATATAATAACAGAGCCATAAGGTAACTGGTATGTACAGCACATCTACTCGCCACATGTTCACACACACCTGTAGATCAAATATTTACCTGCACATTTGTTTACGATATAATGAAAACCAAAACCGCCACCTGCGTGTGCGAGGCAGGTACTAAAATGTAGAAAACAGAACGGAAATCAAGTTTGTTCATCCTTTGTTTTTCTTTGACAGGTGGTCGATATACCTACGAACCTGATGGCCTAAGAATCGAAAATATTTTGGAAACCGACAATGACCTATACATTTGCAGAGCCTATGTGGCAGAGACGGGTGCAGCAAGGTCTATTGATATCACAGTTGAGGTAAGAACAGGCAAGAGACATGTTTTCTCTGATACTGTAATAGAATGCCACCCTGGAAGCATCATCGTCGTATTATGATAATTTTGTGGTTTTATTCACCCGCCAGAAGGAGGTGAGAAGAGAGAAGTGACGGTAAACGAAATGCCCTTTGAGACCCAGATTTTGGCGAGCACCGATATTCACATTTATCTGCACACATGTTGACCAATCAGATAACGCGTGTGTGTGCGCGAGTGAGGTACATGATCACACACAGAATGCCAGGAGCCACGTCACGTGAAGACGGTTTATTGTTAAATCACGCAGATCTACGCAGTTAATCAGGGTTGTGAAACAACTGTAATGATGTTATGTAAATGATTTGGTGTTTGTCTAAAGATTTTCTGCAAAGGGACACAAGTTAATGAGGAAAAAAATCCAATGTCAATTAGGAGACTGTCAGACTGTCTGACAACATATGGCATTCCTAAACCATGTTTTATGTTTATGCTCACTGGAATCAATTTTCTAAACTGAAACTTTCTATGCTATTTTGTTCTATTTGGTGTTGTTACATGCATTAGGACAAAGTATTGATTCTAGTAAAGTATGGTACTATTGATGTGTATGTTATATGATAATATATGTTGATATATGATGATGATAATGATGATGATATATGTTGCAACATGAAGCATTAGTACCATGCAAGTATGATGGATTTTTCCGACTTATTTTCCAATTATATTCTTGGATTAGTTCGAATATATTTATATCTCGATTGGTTTGAGCAATAATTATATAACAAGCTACCGTCATCTCTTCATTGTTTGATGCGTGATATGTGTGCTCAATGTGACAGCCTAGTGAGTTTCACGTATACTCCCGGGCTCCCGGCATCTTTTATTATTTACTAAACGTAGTCAGCCGACTTCTGATTAGCAGTATGAAATTTCATATGTGTATTCTCCAGGTGCATATACCGCCAGAGATCAACATCCCTCCAGCTGCTTCCTTCGGGGTAGAAGGGTTTGATGCAACAATGAGCTGCTACTCGCTTGGCAAGCCTACGCCAGAATACGAATGGTTAAAGGTGCGTTTTCATCTGGGAGAATGTGACTCGTGCGCGCGTGTAAAATGATATCACCCAGGTTAGTTCTTGAGTATTAGGTCTTACCTTCGTAAGATTTCATGTTTGCGAGTTGTGGTTCAGTGGATAATTAGGTATTTGGCAACTGCTGCAAGGCCACTCTCTAGATCGCGTGATTTTGCTGTTAGGTTATCGATAACATGTGATAATTTGTGGATAGCTTTACTGAGCTACTATACAAGTTAAAGAGTTAGCAAGGATACTTTCTTTGAGGGACAGTAGCAGTGTGTAATGCGCAGCGATGTACACTAAACTCTTCATACGTGATAAAGACAGTATTATGACGTTAATTATATCCGTATTAATATGACGATGATAAAGACCATTTTATACGGGTCAATAAGGACGTGCTCATGCGTGTGACCTGTATTTCTTGTCTTCACAGGGTAACCAACCGTTGAATAACCCGATCAAGTACCCGCAGTCTGGCAATGAACTAAGGGTGACGAAGCTTACGAAGATTCCGGATGAGAGTACTTACTCCTGCAAGGCAGTGAATCCTGCGGGGGAGGATAAAGCATCCGCATTCCTAGACGTGATCGGTGAGTACATCGCCGGAATGTTCTAAGCTATCTATCTATATATCTATCTATCTGTCTGGCTGTCTGTCTGTCTGTCTGTCTGTGTCTGTCTGTCTGTCTGTCTGTCTGTCTATCTATCTGTCTATCTAAGCTAGGAGAGGTGTAACTAGCAATCTGACTATGACCAGAAACGATCTAGAGCTTTGTATGCCCTGCGATTCACACTACCAAAAATACCGGCCAACATGAGATTACAACTAATTTTGTCTAATTACTGGCCCTTGCTCGTTAAAGATCAAAGAATAATACAAAACTTCTCTTATTCGACTCTTTGTTTGTGACGACGGGTTTGCGTCGGCACCCCCGCACGGGCCGCCACCATCTCGCGTTAATCGTTGTTTCTTTGCTCGTCAGTTCCTCCCAAGGTGCAGGTGAACGTGAACAAGACCGAGATCGCATCGCCAAAGGACGTCTACGTCAACTGTACGGTGTCCGGCGAGCCTCGACCGACGGTCAGCTGGTGGAAGATCGGCAAGGACAAGCCGTACGTGGAGGACACTCAGCCGGTGAGTCCGCACGCACACGCACGCATGCACACACGCTCACACCCACGCACACGCACGCACACACACATGCATGCACGCACGCACGAATGTGAGAGAGAGAGAGAGATAGAGAGAGTGTGGATATATTATATATTGCTGTAGGTGACAACCCGTACACGGAGTACGTCGTACCGGCCCTCAGCTCCGGCGGCATCATCGGCATCATCATCGTCTGTGTCCTCGTCATCGCCGTCGTCGTCGACCTGCTGCTCTGCATGTTCTGCAACTGCGGCATCATCTTCTACTGCTTCGTCGACGCGTGCGGCAGAGACAACCCCGAGGAGTTTGAGATGAAGGCGTCGAAAGGAAGGTGAGTGGCGAGGTGGGGGTGGGGGAAGGAGATGAAGTGTAGGGCCGGTCGCGGAGTCGTGTGTAGCTTTGGATCTTAGTAAGGATCTTGGTAGGATATTACAAGGAATCTTAGAACGATCTTGGAATGACCTTAGAAGAATCTTAAAAGGGTCTTAGAAGGATCTTAAAAGGATCTATGCAGAATCTTAGAAGGGTCTTAGAAGGATCTTGGAATGACCTTAGAAGAATCTTAAAAGGGTCTTAGAAGGATCTTAAGGATGGCTTAAAAGGACTCTAGGAGGATCTATGCAGGAATCTTAAAAGAATCTTAGAAGGGTGCTAGATTGAATC